GAATAACTTTCCTTCCAAATGGACCTGGAGATGGCAAACAGTTTGGGCGGTGTCCTAAAGCAAGCATTAGACTCGTAATTAGCCCCAGCTCTTGAACATCAAAATTTGTTAGCTGTAATATTTTCAACTGGGGCACATATGAGATGATTGAAATCTAGAGACTTTGCCTCAAAATTTGTCTGTCTCCAATATCTCATTTAGAATGTGCAACAATGATGAATCCCTATGTGCCTCCATGCTATTTTCACTGAGAGTAAATATTGATGAATGAGGGAGATAAAGAATAGAATTACAATAAATATTTCCAATATAGAGTTAGTACCAGATCAGAGATAATGGGCTGGATTTTATCCTTCTGTGCTGGAGATTAGTTGACTTATAAAGTGCTGTGTTATGATTTTTTTATACTTTAACAAGTTTGCTAGTGCAACATTTTTAAGTAGCTCTGAATTGATGACCCAAATCGACATTATTATCAATATTTACTGCAGCTTACTGCTTTAATCCATTACTTCCTCGTGTGTCACAAATCTATTTAAATAATCCTCTCCCAAAACTAAGTTTCCTTTGTTTATGATCTTGGGAACCAGACTTTCCAGTAACTAGTGTCATGGTTAAATTATGATCAAGAGTTTTGAAATTCATTTGCAGAAGCCTTATTGAGTCTCTCTACAAATGCTGCATATAAGAGGGATTCAGTGTGAATCTTGCTTTGCTGAATAGTTCACCTTAATGTGCTATTGGCAAGTTCCTCACCCTCACCAGGGATACATGTTTCTCTCGGTAAGTATTCTTTAGTGTTATTAGATGTTCGTTCTGTCTTGGAGATTTAATTTTTTTTAGATAAGGTCCCTCTGTAGTCTGCAAACTGTACAAGCTTAGGAGATGTTGTAATGACCAGATATCAATAGCTTTTTCTGCACTGTTGTGTCCAATTTGGCTACAGAATGAGTGAATTGGTCTAATTTCAATGTTCCATCCCCTAAAGCAGATGACAAGAATTGTAGTAAATGACAAGGGATCTTATGAATCAGTAGAATCCAACAGGTTGACCCCACCTTCTCCAGGTACTGGACCTTGAACATTAAACTAATATGATGTAATGTACTGCTTCCTCACTTTAAAGCTGACCCACTTGATATGTCTTTAACCAGAAAGAACCTGCTGATACACATCTTCCAGAAACAACTGATGTTCCAAATCAATTTGAATGTCCTCATAGTGTTTAGCTTCCTGTTGAATAGAAACATCTGGAAAAGAGCTAGGCATCCAGTTAATTGCCATGAACCTACCCTTTGTTAGTTTAGTGCATATCTGAATATACCTTACAAAGTGAAGTTAGATTAACCAAAACTTCAATTAAGAAGTAGAGCTAGAATTGACCAGCCAGAAACATGAGCTTTATTTATTTATATGCTAAGAATTGACCATGCCTTGAATTTTGTAATATACAATGATTATCTCCTGATTCATACAATGCGAGTTCAGAATTATAAGAACAGAGCAGACAAAATTAAACTAAATAACTTACCCACTGGGTCTTTCAGGTTTTTGTCCCTGCAATTAATTGTGCCTGGGACTAAACCAAGCATTTGACACTCTGCCATCTCTATGCACTAAGCACTGTCTTACCACTGCACACACTAATTCACACAGAGCAAGGATCAAACTTGGAACCATGTGGTGCACTTACTCATTGAGCCATTACTTAAATCTCATACAATTTTGTACTTGTACAGAATACATGCTAATTCTCTATGAATCACTTGATTCAGTTAATGAGAAACTTTGTTTTTTAATTCCAAGCTTGGTTTTCTTCCAATGTTTTCCAAATGAGTCCACTTTTTAATGGGTCTATTCGACCATTTTCTCATTGACTTCTTTAGCAGTTGTTCCATCATGCCATCTTATATCTGCGCACGTCAGTTATTTCTCTCAAACTCTATTTCAATATAAAATGTTGATACATCTGGGAGGATTTTATGGAGGAAGCATATTACAACTGAAATGTTTACTAGAAAACTGTGAATGATCCTGTTCATTTTGACTCATGCATACCTTTATTCCTACCCGAAACAGTCATCTAGAGATAGATTACACTAAAGTGCTATCATGTTTCGCAACTCCATTTTTCAGGGTCCCTGGTCACCACAAAATAGGAATCTTTATATCAGTCCATTGGGAACACATCCATACAAAAGGTAGATCCTTACCTTCTGCAGTTTTTAAAAGATTCACACAGGTTTCTGTGAAAGATCTTTTATTGTCCTCAGGACAGCAGTGTTTTAATGGTACTCATTTCTCTTATAACATTACAACCTTGCTGAGTTAGGGTTCCACAGGTTCTTAAACCTGTGCAACCTGGACAATGAGTATCGCAAACTATTCAACCAGTGGTGTCTTCAATTAGACCCAGTCTGCCCTTTCACAATATTCACATGCATTTCTTTCCAAAAGACTGGAAATTAATTTGGAGTCAATTCAGATTAACAGTTTTTCACTCCATGGCCCAGGTATATGTGTAGAGTGAAGTCAATTGTACAGCTCCCATGAGTCTTAGCTGGAATTAACTGATCTTCAACAGAGGCAGAGCTTGGGTTAAAGATTTGGGTTAGGGCAGGGCCTTCAGATAAATGATTAGATTTTGCTGGCTTAGCACAAAATACACACAAAAACATCTTGGAATGTACCACTGCCATTCATATTGCACTCCAAATGGCAACAAACATTTGAAAGTTAAGTGAGTAAATGATTTCACAAATTTTTGGCTGAAGCATGACATGAAAATTTGGTCACCCTTAAAATGACTTGTAGGAACGAGAGTGTATCATGGTCCTACCAACCGTCCCAAAGGATCTGCCTACCTTTTTACCTACAGTCCTGAGTTCCACCATTTGTTGTCCTTTTACTCGTGAAAGGTTTGCTTTTGAATGTAGGGATTGAGAAGCAATAATTTGACTCAGAAGATATTCTTCCTACAATACAATTACTTTCCCAGCATGAAGTAATGTAATTTGCATGCCTCTGCTTTTCCTTTCTCTTCTAATATCTTATTTGCTATATACTTGCTAATACCTGGTGTCAGTGAAGCATTTTGCATAATCTTGTACAACTACAACTTTCCTTCATGTTCAGATATGTCTTGTACTCCTACTTTACAACAATATTCATGCCTTAACTTTGTCCACCTTCTTCCAGACCTCCTGCCAGGTCGTCCTCTGAGTCGTGAAGACAGTGCTGAAAAACTGCAATGCTTTGTGTCTACTTTACAAGCTGGGGGTTTTGGCTTCCCCCATGAAACAATGTGGTTGCGTCACTTCATGATGGTGCCTACCTGCACTTGCAGACTCTCTTCATTAAAACTCGCTTTGCGCTACAGCCATTTTTAACCTGCAGTGGTGTGCTCAGCAGCAGCTTTACAAACTTTGTATGAGTCAAGTGGCTTTTCATCTGCTTCAGAAGCGCAAAAAGATCTTTAATGTTGACATATTGCAATTGGCTGAAATTTATCTTTGCCACTAATGTCAGCAGTTTTCACCTGCTTTCTTTTTTCCAGAATTTTGTGTGCTTTGCTCAAATTTTGGTACAGTGATTGCAAGAGAGGCTTTTATTGCCAGTTTTTTTTTAAACCAGAATTGATGTTGGTCCCTGGACTAATAAATTATTCTAAACAAAACAGTTGTAAAAAGTCCATGTTATTATTTTACAACAACTAAACTTAATTAAAAATAGGTACTTTTTTTGGTCTTGTAAAGAAAGACAGCGCAAAGTTATACCCATGATTTTTTCCATTATTACATGCATTGGGAAATGAGCCTAAGCTCCTGGTGCGCACGATAAGTGACAAAATGTGAAATTATTGTGATTACAAAACTAAGTTGATTTCGGTATAAAATCTTCTTTATGTTAGACGATAAATGGAGCCAACATATTGGTGCGCAAAGTCAGGTGGAATTGACCAAATCATATTTTGGCACACAGAGATTGGTGCCTCGATGACAACTTGAAAAATTAATCTTTAGAAATCATTGTTGTCTTTATGTGAAAATGTTTGCCAAATTGGCAAAACTGGATGACATACATAGAAACTATATGTTACTTGCAATTAAGTTTGAGAGATAATATTGCCAGGCATCAGAGGGTTTTTCTCCATTACGGCATCTTTTAGAGCATTTTTATCCCCTCTGCTGACTTCCTGCGCTCGTCAGCTAACGTACTTCCCCCTTTGTTATTTTTATCAAATTTACATTACAAAGTTTTTGTAACCATGGGAATTTTTCAGGCAGTTATTGAGAATCTGGAGCCTGAAGAAGTCAATAACAACTGAGTATACCTATTTACCCAGCTGTCACTGACTTTTCTCAGCTCCTCTGCTTCCCAACTAGCATCAAGATTAGTCTGGATGCTAATAGTACAGGGTTCTCTATGAAGGCAGTCACTGTCACTCTCATAGCTGACATCTTCAGAGTGGCTCCCTGCAGAGAAGGGAGACCCCGAATCAGGGTCTGAAAAATTGAAATGAAAATAAGGACTTCTCCTAAGAGGTAAGAATATTTAAATTTTCTTTTTTAAGCATTGCTTAGCTAGGAAACGTATTTTAAACTGAAAGCACTTCCCCACAGTTTCTTCCTCTTTAAGATAGATAAAGCTTATTCGATCCTTGTAATGTAAATGCCTTTGATCTTGCCACATAGTCTCACATGACTTTTGCCTCATCAGAGTTGAAGTGCTGATGCCTGGCAACATCACATTTTATTCCGCTTCATAACACTCGTATGAAATGTGATTTACCATTATGTTTTAGAGACAATGGCTTATTCATTTATCAAAGGAACTGAATTTGGAAACTGAGGCAACTGAGAAAAGTGAGATCAAACAGAATCCAACTAATGTAGAGATTGGTTTGGATAATTGGGCAGTATAACTCTGTAAATTGAACAGTAATGGATATTCTGTTGGAACTTCAATTGTTGAACTGCCAATTATCTTTTGTTTTTCAGCCCGAAAGCTAAGAAAATTCAGTAAACTAAAGAACATCGGAAACAGCCCATCTTCTCTGCAGTCCGAAATGACACTATCAAGTGTCAATGCAGTTGCAGTACCAAAGGTCTCATTACATTCAGCTCGAGCGGTCCAGTTCACGCCGACACTCGTTTCCATTTTACAGATAATTGAACCAGAAGTTGTTTATGCAGGCTATGATAACAGTCAACCTGACTCAACTAACTATCTGCTAACCAGCCTGAACAGGCTATGCGAGAGACAACTTGTATCTGTTGTTAAGTGGGCCAAATCTGTACCAGGTAACTGTATGAGTTTAAGTGATAAAATTCCAATCGTTAGACAACATAGTGCACACTACACCATGTATCTTTGTTGTTTCCTTTATGGTGATGTTTTGGTCATCGAGTTAATGGGTTTAATTGCTAAATGGTGGAACACTCTGGGGAGTCCATTGTCATCATCAATTACTTCTAGGTAAAGTATGGCTAGATGCAAAATACCAGCTGTCTGTACTAGATTTTAAACATGCATTTCAATCATTAACTTGAGCAGAGCGACAAAGCAATATTTCAGTTTCCTATGAGTGTAATTCAACTCACTGCACCATTTGCCTGAGCAAAAGTTAACATCACTCTTCCTATATTCATTGCAAATGTGTTTCTATCCTTTATGTGAAAACAGATTTGTTCACAACTTAGTAGCTTAGTAACAATGTACCCTATCAAGGAAATAGAGGTGGAGAGAGACTAAGGCCTGTTTTGATCCCCCCAAATCATCATGGAGCAGCTTAAACCCTTACAGCTGTGAGCCTTATTTGATGAAAGCCAGGAGACCTACCGCAAGGATGGAAGAAATATTGATCATGTCAGCGCTGGGCTGTAGTGTGATACCTGGCTGAGATCAACCCCTGTGGACGTTCTGAAAAAAAACTTCCTGGCTTCCTCTCCTATTTCAACAAATGAAATGTGACCCAAAGAAATAGGGGACAAAATCGAAGAACTTCAAGCCCTCATAAAATCAAAAACCACTGACCAAAATTTTCTTTGGAGATTAATGGTAATCACATTTGCGTTGCGATTACCAGCAGAATGTCATGAACAATATCAAATTCAAAACTTTCACAATACCCTGACTAAGTTTATCAGGCTTTAAAAATCTGTGATTACTGTGTAACAACTTGTAAATTGTACAGCTAATGCAGTGATATAGGACAGTTAAACTATTCAGAGAAAGAAGAATTTGGAATGTAATTTTATCATGTTTCTTTTGGAGAAGATCTAATGATTGCATTGAGGAGCCCCACTCACAGGGAACATGGGAATGAAAATAAGCAATTGGGGCATTATTTACCAGAGGCAATGGGAATCATGTTCAGTGGTTGGAGAGCTGGCAAGAATCCCACGTTGAGTCCTTTTGCAAAAATATCTTTAATTAACTGCCAATTAGGCACTTAACAATGCACCAGCTGGCACTCCCCATGATCAAGGATAGCAGAAATCACCCCCACCCTCAACAAACCCCAACTTCAAGAGCTGCTGAACAATCAAAGATTGTCAACTTTGCATTGTTCAGCAGCGCCAGTGAGGAGGGAGTAGCTGCTGTGAACAATACAAACTTAGAACATAGAACATAGAACATTACAGCGCAGTACAGGCCCTTCGGCCCTCGATGTTGCGCTGACCTGTGAAACCAATCTGAAGCCCATCTAACCTAAACTATTCCATTATCATCCATATGTTTATCCAAACTAATCCAGGGTCACTGAGAGATCTGACAATAGGCGAGTGATAGTGGAATGGACCTTCACAGAGTGGGAGCCATGGGAGTGGGGATAGATGGGTCGGCAGCAATAACAGGGATTGGGTCTCAGCAGGCCCTAATCTTGTATTTATTCATCAAGGACTGAACATTTGAAAACAAAGGATCTTCTTTGGAAGCCCACAAACATGGCAACAGGATTTTCTCCCTGGGTTTCCCTCACAGTAATTGCATAATGCCCCATTGATGAGATGAGATCTTTAGTTGCAATAGGGTGGGAAGGCCATCCAGGAACTTCCTTGTCCCAGACTTAGAACTGTAAAACTACAGAAAGGTTTCAGCTCAGAAAGAGGTCATACAGCCATTGTTAGCTGAATAAACTAACCCTCTCCCCCAACCCCCCAATTCTAACCCCACTTTCAGGAGTCTGGTCTGCAGCTCTTCAGGTTACAGTTCTTCAAGGGCTGATCCAGTTTCCTTTTAAGTAAGTTGAGCATCTAAGCTCTTCATTATGTTGCACACACCAATTCAGTCACTTCTCACCATCTTCTTTTCTAACAAAAACAATCCTAGTCCATGCAATCTTTCCTTACAGGTGCAATTTTTAACCCTGACAAATCTCCACTGTACACTGTCTAGAGCAATAATGGTCATCCTGTAATGTGATCAAAAACGTATATTAATCTCCAACTGTGGCCTAATCAGTATCCTATAAAGCTCCAGCATTACCTCCTAGTAACTGTATTCAGTTCCTCATTCACTGAAGGAAAGCTTCTCATATGCCTTCTTTACCTCGTTATTGGCCTGTTCTGGCACCTTCAGGGATGTAAGGACATGCACTCTATGGTTTCTCATGATCCTCATCAATCCTCCTCATTACCATCTCAGAAAATTCAATGAAGGTTTTAAGATATGACCCTCCCTTAACAAAACCGTACTGATTATCCCTGATTAATCTGTGTCTCTCCAAGTCTCTCAAAATTGATTCCAGTACTTTGCCTATCATGGACATCAAACAGACTGGTCTATATTATTTCACTTATACCTTGCACCCTTTTTGAATACTGACACAATGTTTGCAGAAGTGGTGCAGTGGTAGTATTCCTACCTCTGAGCCACAAGGTCCAGGTTCAAGACCCAACTACCCAGATATGTGTCATGACGTGTCTGAACAGTGATTGAAAATATTACGCTGTTGGCAGACATTCAGTTCTCTGATACCTCACTTGTACCTAGTAAGAATTGGAAAATAAATTTCAGAGCATCTGCTATTCCCTTCCTGTTTTCCTTTAACAGCCCAGGATGCAATTCATCTCGTCTGAGTGATTCGTCCATCTTCAGGTCAGACAGTCCTGCCATTTCTTTATCTCTTGTTATGCTTATTTTTTCCTCCAATTTAATATTTGATTTAACTGGGACAGAGGCAAGAAAGCAGTAGAATGCCCAACCACTGCACATCCAATCTGATCGGAGGCACCTCCAGCATCAAGCTCGATTTGGGGTTCTGAAGAAGAGTCACATTGGACTCCAAACATTAACTGTTTTTCTCTCTGTCAATGCTGCCAGACCTGCAGAGTTTCTCCAGCACTTTCTGCTTTTTATAGCACCTATCCTTTAATTCCCTTGTTGCCTAAAGCCTGAAATTGTATCAGTCTGAGTCTTAAATATATTCAAAAACTGAGTTTCCAAAACCATATTATTTCAAAAAATATCCACAAACCTCTGAGTGAAGATATTTCTCCGTATTTCAGTTTGAGAGAGTGAGGCCTTTTCTTTTAGTTGAAAACGAATGAGACCAACTCTTTTTTCACACTTTCAATTTCACACAGATATTTCATGGGTTTTGGACTGGAACCAAATGTAAATTGGGCATTGAGAACCAGAAAGTATCATTAGAATATTTAATTCAATGTCAAATCATCTACAGAATCCAAAGAGAGGGTAGGAAAAATTGAATTCAGAAAAATAAAATGAAAAGAGACATAAAGATGTTTTTAAGGTTCTACCATTGTTTGTTTATTTTTTGAAAACTCTAAACATTTCTCAGCATTTTGAGGAATAAGGATCTGAAATTGTTAAAGTTAATTTTCAGGGCCAGAGGGGTAGTTTGACAATAATTAAGACTTGTGAAGTTATTAAAAATGTACTCACACTGAATGGAAATTCTCAAATTTTTTTTGGTAATTTGAAGCACATTTGTCATTTCAGCACGTGAACTTTATAGCATCTATGATTCTGTGGTCTCATTTGTTTCAATAGCAAGAAACCAATGTATTGCAGCTTCTGAAGGACAAGAGCATCCCCTAATTTCAACATTTCACCATGCATGTGTGATGTGTGTCCGACTTGTACTACTATAACTGTGAGCATTGTTAGCTTCACTCCTATTTTTATTACAAAATCTAGATATTTATTGACATTCAGCTCTGTAGCGACCACAAATAGATGTAAAATCACACGTTTAATGTTTCCCAGAGAATTTGAGGAACATCTTTGCCACTTGTAATAAATATGAATGGCTGTTCAGGTAGAACTAAACAATATGAATAGTGCAGGACAATTTGCTAAAATTATCATGTCCATACAACCATAAACTATTAAGTCAGTTTTATTTGTGACTACTACTTGTTGCATCCTCATATCTTGCAATACCTCCAGCCTTCACTGCCACGCAGAGAACCAACTGGTTTAATCTGGTTTATCAGTTTCCCTTTAAATTGGAGAATAACATTCAGGGGATAAGTTCCTGTCATCACTTCAACTGGCCAGTTTTACAATGCAAATGTGTCATGTATCAAACTGGATTTAAGACACTCTGTTGCTTGTACATGTTATATGTGGTTCATTTGGTACAATGGACAAATCAGTGGATGGTATATGGATGATCATCATAGCCGTGTCACTTCTATTGCTTCAAAAAATACTGCAGATGCTGGCAACCTGAAATAAAAACATAAATATCTGGAAATATCCATTTGATCTGGCAGCATATGTAGAAAGAGAAAAACGGAATAATATTTTGAGTAGATGTTGCCAGATTTTATGAATATTTCTGCTTTGGTATGAGTTTATTTATCACTGTTGGTTGAAGTTGGCATAGGGAAATATGGTAACTGAGAATTGAGAAATTGTTTTGAAACGTATTATTGCCCTTTCTTTTTAATTATTGAAGTATAAACTTTATCTTTGGTAGAGTTACAAGTCTGCAAATAGAATGGTTTACCTTTATCTGATTAAGCTGTACAAAAATATTACATCTGCTTGCCTTAAAGTTTGCAGAGCGGAGTCTGATGCATTCAGTCTGGTTACTTCAGTTACCATTTTTGGCTAAGTCTTTGGTCACAATACTAACAATTATATCTTTCAGTTTTGCATTTCATCAGGGCATGCTTGTGAAGCTTTCCAAGATACAAGATCAAAATTTCATTTATTTCATTATCCAGCCAAATCTATTTTTTTTGTGTATAATTTTCATGAAGTTAATACAATTCTTTATTATGATTGCATCTGGCTAGAGGACTGAGGTGCAGCATTAATTCAG